TATACCACTATTAGGTCAGACTGTAGTAAAAGTACAATATAAAGGGCGTACATTAGAACTACCACTCATAATTACAAAAGGATAAACCAAAAATCTAATTGGAAGAAATTGGATAATTAAATTTCCCAAAATGACTGAATTACCTGAAAGGACCATACAAATAAATAATATTAATATACAAAATGAATTTCCTCAATTATTTACCAAAGAATTAGGCTGCTTGAAAGATTATAAGGCACAAATATATATGAAAAACGAGAAACCAATTTTCTGTAAATCACGTCCCGTACCATACGCATTAAAAAATAAAGTTGAAGAAGATTTTGATAGATTGCAAAAAATAGGAGTAATAGAGAAAATTAATCATTCACTTTATGCATCACCCATAATAATTGTTCAAAAGAAAGATAAAACATTATCTTTCATGCCAGCCGGCACAATTCTTACATTTACTATCGTAAAACTTGTTATTAGGCTTCCTATAATTATTGTCTCTCTTAACACACTCTTGTGAATTAGACATTTTATGTTTGCAATCTTGCGGTTTGACACTATTTACCAAGTCTTCTTGATAGTCATTTCGTTTTCAGCATTTTCTGTTGCCGTGGCCATATCTAGCCTGAACTGGAACGTCAGGGGCTTTTTGTTCACATCCTATGCTAAAGTATATTTAGTCCTGCGGCCGTCAACTTCTGAGCGTAAAACAACACGCTTTCGCAGTTATTTTGATTCTATTAGCGAACTCTCCAATTGGTTCATTCTCATTCCTAATTAACCTTATGAAGTCACCGAAAATGGTTTTATTCTTCTCAAAAATATGTAGCGAGACACTCCTTATCTTATCAAATTTAGTCGTTAGAATGGTTTCAGGAAATAAATATTGTTCGAGAATGTCAATGCCCTCAGCGCCAAAACTCACCATGAACAGGTCCTTATTTTCTTGATCGGTCGGTGTCCAGTTCTTTAGTCTTAACGTTGCGTCCCAAAATTGGAACCAACTTTGTATAGACCCATTAATTTAATATTTTTCTAACTTATCAATTATACTAGTATTTTTGGACTGAGGCATAATTTATAAAATTATTAACTATTTTCTTACTTGTTTTAATTAAAATATTAGAATCCTCTTCGTCGCCACTTTAGCGAAGGTAGAACCACTATTTACATTTATTTATTTCTATAATTCATTCACAATAAGTATCAGTTTTCATTGACATTTTATTCAGTATAATTTACCCATAAGGTGCAACTTAATTACAAATGGCGATATATAATTACACGTTAATAGATGGGTGTGTACATAATACATTAGGAAGATAAACAACACCTATTATATTAATCGTAAATATATATATATAATCATATCTAACTGGCAAATATAATATATAATATGATAATATATTACAATAGATTACTTCTTTACTACATATTATAACACTTCGATAAAAAATAAATACACAAAAAATTTAATTAAAATTTATCAAAATATTCCATTGTTCCACTTTAAGGGTGGAATCATCATATTTTATTCAGCTTATTAATTCAATCACAATGTATATCAGTTATCATTTACATTGTATTCAGTTTTATAATTCAATCATAATGTACAATTTAGTTATCAATGTCGATACAAGGAAATTGTTAAAGGATAAATGTGTCAGTAATCTATTGGAAGTTAACCAACACCTTATTATATTAATCGTAAATATATATATATATAATCATATCCAAATGACAAAAATATTTTTCTCATGATATTTATCGACTCCAATATAAGTGCAAACCTTACTTGTGATAGAACAAAAATGAGCAAGGCTATCACAAGTGTTGTAGTACCTGATCCTAGAGGTCAATTGTAGATGATTTGAAAGATGGGCATTCATATGCAATCGATGCATCTAATAAGAGAAATATTAAAACATTTCCCTCGATCCTTCGCTTTTTCAACAAGAATAAGAACATTTCAATATAACTGTTAAAATTATTTCCTCGGGTAGTGAAAAATCCAACGATGTAGCTAGCGACATAATGGTAAATATAGCTGATTCAGGGTAATGAGTTGCATATCAGCTTTTTTCGCTGATAATGCCTAATTTTGGCAAAAATCAAAGTGTATTTACCGAATTGAGGCAGCACAATAATGAATTAATACTAATTGGCTGTATATGCCATATGCTACATAATTCTTGCAAGAAGGCAATGAATGTACTATCTGTGGATGTCGAAATAATTGGGATGAAATGTTTTAGCGAATTTAGTTAATCAACTAAAAGAGTTAATGAATTAAAAGAGTTGGTGAAGTGGTCTGACTTGGAATGGTGTGAGTTGTTAGCGATATATACCTATCAAGTGGTTGTCATTAATACCTTCCATCGATAGAATTTTAAAATTTTACAAATCCTTAAAAAAATACTTTTTAAATAAAGATTTTAAAAGCTGTCCTAAAATTTTGAAAATTTTTTCGAGTATGAAATGGCAGAAGCATATTTGGTTCATTTCACATGTAGGAAATCTACTTCATGTAGTTAATATTCAGTTGCAATCAGAATATTCTTTATTAGAAATGATTCATAAAATCATGCTACAGCTCTGTTCATCTCTACAGTTAAAAATTGATAATAAATTTTATGGCGCTATATAACACTCTAATTAATACATTTTTAAATGAAGCAATTTTTATTAAGACAATTTTATAATATTTACAATCAAAATTTGATTTTAATAATTCTATTTACAATGACCTTGGAACAGAAACCATTAATTGATGGTTTTTATAATTTAATAAATATATTAAAAATACTGAAAGACATTGATTTGTTTGAGGAGATTGTAATTCTCTTTATTTTTATAATTCTCCAAAATACTTAAAGTTAGATGGTCTAAAAGCAGAGGAGAAATAGGTAGAATTTTTTCGTAATAAGGATAAATCCCCATGCTTGGAAAAAATATACGAGTATGTCTTCTCCTTACCTTATTCTAATGCCTTATCCTAGCGCATTTTTAGCCTGATAAGGAATGCCTGGAAAAATGAGAGAAATCGGATTGCTAACAACATTAGAGGCCAAGCTAATGGTTAAACAAATATATAATATGTCATGCCCAGAATTTTATAAATATCTCAATAACGACGGTGAACATTTAGTTCTATTATTAAAATCTCAAATAAAATATAATTAAGTTTTAGCAATGGCGCCATAAAATTTATTGTCAATTTTAAACTGTAAAGATGAACATATCTGTAACATAATTTTGTGAATCTTTGTTAAGATTCTTCTGATTGCAACCACACATTAACAGCATGTAGTAGATTTCCTACATGTAAGATCATTCCTAAATATATCTTTGCCATTCATTATTGAAAAAATTTTTCAAAATGTTAGGACAGCTTATATAATCTTTATTTAAGAAATATTTTTTTAAAGGTTTATAAAATTTTAAAATTCTATCGATGGCGTGTATTAGGAACATATCGCAACCACTGACTCAATTCTGTAATTACACTCTGTTTTTACAAATTCACTGAGGCATTATCAGATCAGAAAGCTGACATGCAATTTATTGATAATCTCGAATCTGCTATATTTACCATTATATGGTTAGCTATGTCTTTGGATTTTTCACTATATGAGGGGAAAAAATTTAATAGTTTTATTGAAACGACCTTAATTTTGTTGAAATAGCAGAGGACCAAGGGAATATTTCCCTTATTAGATGCACTGTTTGAATTGCATATGTATGCCCATCTTTCAAATCGTCAAGAATTGACCTCCTGGATTCAGGTTCTAAAACATTGATGATAGCCTTGCTCATTTTTGTTCTTCAAGTATAGTTTTCATTTATATTAGAGTCGTTAAATATTATGGGGAAAAGATTCTACCAACATTATGATGATAAGTATCTCTGTGAATGTTGCATTACAAGATTGATTAAAATTGCCGCAACTGTAGTTACATCTGTATTATTTCTTATTTTTGGAGTACCTTGTTATGTATTTAAACGTGATACGTGACAATAAGCGCCTATCCCTATAATGTTATACACACACACACGGTAGATTTCCAATTGCGGTCGTTTTGCGGGACATTCACATAAAATATATTTTAATTGTAAAATTAAAATCGTTTTTATAAATATAATTTTATCTTGTTTACATTCTTTTATATTTAAAAAAGATCGTTGGTTTTTTTTATAAATTAATATATTCTAATAAATCAAGACGCATTTTATTTTGAAAAATAGTTACCAACTTTGTATTTATATAAACTAATTATATAAATAATAGGCGGATAATTAAGTCGGCCCGCAAAAAATTTTTTTTAGCAATTTTTATATTTCTAACGCAATTTTCATATTTTTCCCGCAATTTAAAAATTTTGACCTGGCAACCCTGTTCATGATACGCGACAAGCCCAAGAAATGAACGTAATTGATAAACATTCTTGGAGATAGGTGTGGCCTGGATTGCTTTCACTTTTTCCTCGCTTGGATATACCCCATTTTGTTCGATAACGATATTTAAAAACGAAACAGGATTCCGTAAAAATTGAACTTTATCAAATTTGGGTTTGAGGACTGCTTTCTGCAGCCTATCGAGTACTATTTTTAAATTAGCCAGATGTTAGGCGTTATTTTTGCCGGAGATAATTACATCGTCCAAAAACACTCCCGTCATCGGGCAATCTTTTAAAACATTGTCCATGTAACGCTGGAAAATAGTTGGTGCGCACGAAAGCCCAAACGGCTTCGGTATCGAAAATATCCTTTGTGTGTTGAGATGACCAAATATTCTTGGTACTTTGGCTCAACGGCCATTTGTAAATACGCGTCTTTTAAATCTATCACTGTAAAACGGTTTCTCCCTTGAATCTTTACCAGTAAGTCATCCAGCGTTAGAATAACGTGATGATCATATAATAGATGGGGATTTAAACTCATCTTGAAATCTGCGCAAATTCAAATCTCGCCATTGTTCTTCCTGACTTTTACTGTTGGAGTTGCCCATGGATCGATGGGCTCCAAAATTTCCGTCCAGTTCTAATTCAACCGCTCTGCGTAACGGAAAAGGCACTCGACAAGTTGGAAATAATTATGGAACAGCCGTATCTTTTAATTGGAATCGCACCGCGAAATTACGTATCAACCCCGGTTTGCCGTCAATAACGGCTTTGAACTGTTTAGCTAACAAAGGCAGCGAGTCTTCCGTTAGTTACATCTTCGGCCCGCGGGGGCACCGATTTTATTCGAGCGGTCTATCGGGGCATCGTTGGGTTGGGTTGGTACTTGATATTATTGGTTTTCTATTCGTTTTGAGAACTTGTTGTATGCTTACCTGTCTCGGTAACTCAAACCCAAATGCTAAAATCAATGGCAATCCAAACAGAGGTAGGTCATTTGACTTTATTATAATAACTGATAATTTACGAATTTCATTCCCCCATAAGATCCAAAGGCCTATCTCAATAAGCTGATAATGGGTTTGTGGAAAATGTTAGTGGTTATTTTGTTAAACGGCTCAATTGAGTCGATTTTTAAAAACGGCTAACTCAATATTTTAGCCAGAAAAATATTGTCTAAGCCACGAGTTTGGATGTTAGATGTTCCAACCTTTTTGCCATCTAAGAGCAAAATTTTAAGGTTTGCAAAATATTTTTCCTGCTAAAATATTGAGTTAGCCGTTTTTAAAAATCGGCTCAAAATGAGCCGTTTAACAACACTAGTTAGTGGTTTACCAATTTTCTCCCAAATATTCAATCCTATAATAGAGGCTTGTGCTCCTGTATCATAATCAAACGTGACACTAAGTCCATTTTTTTTGGCTGTAATCTTTACCCTTTTATTTAATCCCCCTGTCCAGAGATTATTAATTGAATCACTTGAGTGGAAGTGGGGTTTCACTGAGTTTAAATTGCAATATACAGGCTTACTACTGTAGAATGATGCGAAGTGTCCGGTTCTTTGGCACTTAGAACATGTTTTGTCTTAAGCTGGGCATATCTTTCAGGCCAGCCGGCACAATTCTTACATTTATCATCGTAAAACTTGCTATTAGGCTTCTTATGAATATTATCTCTCTTAACACACTCTTGTGAATTAGGCATTTTATGTTTGAAATTTTGCGGCCTGACACTATTCACCAAGTCTAGCCATTTCGTTCTGAGCTTTTTCTGTTGCCGTGGCCATTATAGCACACACCGGATTGTCAGGGGTTTTTTGTTCACATCCAATGCTAAAGGATACTTAGTCCTAAGTTCAACTTCGAGACCTGGTAGATCTATACCCGCAACCAATTGATCTCTTAACCAGCCGTCAACCTCTGACGGCGTAAAACAATACGCTTTCGCAGTTATTTTGATTCTATTAGCGAACTCTCCAATTGTTTATTCCAATGATATATATAAGTATAGATTGGCGATTCATTTACTAAAGGCATTATTAAAGTGTCCTCACATTGCAATCAGCTGCAGCGCCATTTTGTAGTTTGGTTATCCATTATTTGTAGCAAGTAATATATAATATTGCGAAAACAAGTCTACTAAGATAATTTTATTTGAAAGGTTTTGATTTTTGTTATAATATTTTAAAGTTTCTTTTATTCTTAAATATTATGGACTAGCTGATTACACTTTTCTCAGACTAACCCACCTTTTAATTATTTTAAAATATAGTTTAGCCTATTCAAGCATGGGCATATAAATCTTATGTTAATGCATGTTAGGATACATGCAAAGCAAGTCTTTTAATATCACTATTACCAATAAAATTTAATTGAAGAACTTAATTAGTTGAGGTTAGGATTTATTTGATTATTTTACTTAATTACATTATTAACTAATAATTATAATGTATTGATATGTTACAAATAAATTATATTCTTGATATAGCAATATAAATATAAAATTGTTAAATTTTTAAAAATATTTATTATTATCGGGGCATTTGATCTACGTACAAGCTATAAAATGGCGCTACAGCTGATTTCAATGTGAGGACGTTTTTATGCATGAATCACCAATCTATAGTTATATATATATCATTGGTTCATTCTCATTCCTAATTAACCTCATAAAGTCTAATCTACTACTGAAGAAGATTTTATTCTTCTCAAAAATATGTAGTGAGACACTCCTTATCTTATCAAATTTGTCGTTAGAATAGTTTCAGGAAATAAATATTTTGAGAATGTCAATGCCCTCAGCGCCAAAACTCATCATGAACAGGTCCTTATTCTCCTGTTCGGTAGGTGTTTAGTTTTTTTAATTTCACTGTTGCGTTCCAAAATTGGAACCAAAGTTGTATGGACCCACCATTTATTTGATATCTTTCTAATTTGTCAATTATACTAGTATTTTTGTATTGAGGCATAATTTATATAAATTAATATAAAATATAATAAATTACTTGTATATACATATTCCAAACAAGTATAAGAAATTTATTTATAAAAAGTTAGTGAACATATAGTTCCTCTATTATATAGAATTAGTTATAAAATACTAAATAAAATTCCACTTTTACAGACATATTTGATAGAGAATATATTACAGTTAATATTTTAACAAATTTTACTAATCAATGCTCTTGATAATAAATATAGCAACAATTTGCATTCAATTATTTAACGCCATCTATTTATTTAAAGAAAAATGATATTAAAATTTAATCTTCATATTATTCATCCAACAATGTCTTTAAAAGATATTTTCTGATGTCCTTACCAATATTTTCTAGTTTTCTGTAAAATATATAATTCGCTATATTGGTAAAAATTACTTGATTGTCATATGATAATTGATAAAATTAGATATACTGTAAATCCAAGACATATATTATTCCACTGTTTGCTTTGTGCTTTAATATTTTTATTTAATTTATGATTTAATTTTATCAATAATTTTATAATTATATTTTACTTTTATTAAGATAAATAAATTAAAATTACTCACTTTATAAAAAAATATATTTGATATATTATATTATTTATTAATTTTATAGATCTATTATTAATAATTATAATACATTTCACTTTTCTCTTAAGACTTATCTTTGGCTTATATTTCATTTATTAAAAAACATTTTTGGTTTATTTTATATATTATAAATTTATTTTTCCAAAAATATACAATGTATGATGAATAATTTTATAAAAAATATCAACTTTTACATTCTTTATTTCAAATTATTGTTTAAGATATATGCATACATTTTCAAGGGTCAAGGAGTGAAGGTAAGACTAAGGTGGATATTTTTTATTAGCTAAAAATGATATTCACAAAAAGTGATAAATTTCTGAAGGGGGGGGGGTTTCCCCTTCCCTCTCCCCTGGCTATGCCTATGATTGGATAATAAAGAATCTATATTAAACATTTTTTTATTCCAACACATATTCATGTATTAAATTAAAATAAAATCTCATTTTGTTTACCCCCTTTTGTTGTAAGTTTACTAAAAACACTAGATCACTGTAAGATTGCGTCTAATAAAAATTATCTTTTTCAGAAACATGTCGGATATATGACAGATGCTACACGTTACCTAACGTGTTAACTATTTATATAATAGTCACATTTTATGAATAATTCACAAAATTTATCGTCTTATCTGTTAAAATTTGATGAAAAAAGTTTATTATGCAAAAATGATTGCGGTTTCTATGGAAATCAAGCTTGGTTTGGATATTGCTCCAAATGTTTTAGAGATTATAAAAAAGATAAATTAAACAAAAAGCCAAGCAGGTGCATATAAATAAAGAAATTTTTTTTTACATTTTGTTTAATTAGTTCAATTATTATAAATAATGTGAAAAATAACTTATCACCATTAGATATTAAAAGCAAAAATAAAGATTCTGACAAACCCCAAGAGATATTAAATTCAAATAATTTATCCAACCCAAATTTAAATAAATTTTATTCATTTTTCCCTATATCCCCATCATCAAATGAAACTAAAGTTCTAGAAAATGCCTTATTTTTTAAGATTAATGTTCCAGGGATGCCACAAAATGAGGCAGCAGATGAAAGTCTCATAGATTTGTACAATTTTTTACAACCATTGGGGAAGAGTGTTTTGGTAGATCTAAAAAAACAACTTCAAACTTTTTTGACAATTTTTTGGGGAAAATTATCTGATTATAGTGTTCCAGATATTGATACATTTGATGATCAATTATCAAATTTAGTATTGGATTTTTATAACAATGTATATGAAAGAATGAATTCTTCGAACATTTACAAACGTAAGTAATTTAATATATTTATTTAAAATTATTGTTAATTTCCATTTAATTCAAAATAATACATTTATACTACCCCACTTTGTTGTTTTCTATCCAGCCTGAATTCCAATAAAATTATAATTTAAAAAATAATCATGGATTATATTTCAAAATAAAATATCAGCTATTTCATATTAATTTTGATATAATAATTTATGTTAAATTCTATTTATAATATATTTATATTTTATATAAACCAAATCATGATATATGACCTATACATTTTTTCATAACAACCGATAACCTTTTATCTTGATCTTTTTAATTTTGATAAAATTTGCATATTGAAAGAACATCATTATAAATCAACGAATCCAAAATTTCGCATTTATGTACTAATAGTTTCAGAGATATCAATGTTAAAAGTGTCAAAAATGACCTTTTTTCGAAAAATAAGATTTTTAAAAATTGAAAATTGATAAATTAGGAGGCTAAGAATAGAGATTATATGTCATTTTAAACTAGTATTAAATTTTTATAAAATAATATTGTTGCAGTTTTTATTAAAATTATAAATTTTGAAACTGAAAGTTCCAGGTGTTTCACTTTCTGAATTTCTTTGAATTTAATATTTAATTATTCACTTAATTATATCTATATGCAAAAAAATTTGAACTTGGGACAGCCATGTTTATTAGTTATTATGATTTAAAAAATAATAAATTAATATTTTTTCAAAAATAGATCTCCCAAATAATATAACTCATTTTTGTTAAAATTATTATTTTTTTGAAATCACCATATCTATATTATATATTTTTATTTATAAAAATAATTAAAATTTTAATAAATTAAAAAAACAAAAATAGTTAACGAGATTTTTTATTAAATAGTTTTCAATCTTTTTTTTAAAAATCATTTTTTTATTTTAAAAATTACATTAAAAATAACAAAAAATCTTATTCTATAAATATGGAGGTGGGACTACAAGTTCTCAAAGAACATGAATAATTATATTTTAAAATGGTAATTTATATATTTTGTTTTAAAAAATAAAATTCTTTGGGTTCTGACAATAGGGCCCTTATTTTGCTGCCTATATTTTTTTAAAGTTACACATGACATGTATCCAAGGGAAGAGATAATGATTGGTAAAAAAATAAAATTTGTAATTTCGAATATTTAAATGTTTTTTATCTCAGCTATGTCAACTGGATCAGAATTTAAATTTTTTGGAAATGAAGAGACACATGTGAAGTCCCAAATTAAGGATTTACCTAAAGACCAAGGTACAGAAGTTAAGCCATCTGGTCTTAGGCCATCATATGATAAATTAGTAGGCTCCAGGATGGTTGGAATTATATTCAATATCAATCCATATCGTCATGGTTCAACTACATATATACATGAAATGTAAAATGTTGATTCCAAAGGATATGGTCTTAATTGTATATATAGTCAAGGCAGACATGCAAGACACACAGAAATTATTCAGTTATTAGTAGTGAAGGTCAACAGTCCGGTCCTATCGGTCTTAGACCGGGATCGGACCGGACCGATTGTCGGACCGATCTTTTTCTTGAGGACCGTGGTCCGGACCGGTCTTTTTATTTTTTACAGTCCAGACATTGTTTAAGTTTGCTTTACTATACAATTAATATAATTTTTTTGTATATTTTATTTTATGATATTTTTCTAGAGGAGTCATTTTAGATTTTGTTAATTTTTATTTTACAATATGAAAACCATAAGTTTGTCCAAGAAACATTTTACTTATAGTCCCAATAAAAACATAGAGTATGTGTTCACTGCAGTACCAAATTTAATGTATCGTCAGCACCTAGTAACAAAATAATTGTTTATAATTTTTAAGCAATAAATTAATCAAAATAAGCAATAATATTATTAAAATATTTTAGTTATTATATAGTTCTATTTTTTTTAAAGAAACTGTCTGTATAATTTATTGTAAAAATTACTTAACCTTATTCTTAATAAAATAATTAGGTACCTTAAGCAGACATCTGATAAAACATAAAATATTCTCAAAAAACACAATCTACTCTTAATTTTAATATGCCCTCTACAATCACAAAATCATTTTTTTCAATACCATTGGATAAATTTTATTGTTATATAATACTCTTATATTTAATAAAATGATAAAACAAATCAAAAATTTTTTATTTAGGACCACGGTCTGGATCGATCTTTTTCTTAAGGACCGTGGTCCGGTCCGGTCCGAGGGTATCGGTTCAGTCCGGACCAAAGACCGGACCGTGACCTTCACTAGTTATTAGCCATTCTCTTACGAGGGCCCTGATACCAAACATCCTGGAACCTGCTAAGTTATCATTAGATGATGGCCTAAGACCAGATGGCTTAATGTCTGTACCTTGATCTTTAGGTAAGTCCTTAATGGGGACTTCACATTCGTCTCTTCATTTCCAAAATTTAAATTCCGACCTGGTTGATTCAACCAAGAAAAAAAAAACAATTAAATATTCGAAATTAACAAATTTTTTTTACCAATCGTTATCTCTTCCCTTGGATATATGTCATGCAGAACTTAAACATTTATTTAAAAAATATAGGCGGCAAAAGAGCCCTTACTAGAGGTCTGCATTGGGCGGGTTTTTGCACGCTCACCCGCCCATACTTTGAATAGGCATGGTCGGGTTTTTAAAAATATATTTTCAACATTGGGCGGGTGGCGGGCGGGATGAAATTTTTTTAATGTAATGGGCAGGTGTGGGTGAATAATTTTTTAACATTTTTCAGTCGAAATGAGCAGAACAGACTTTAGTTTATGAAAAATAATATCTTTATTTCATAATAGTTTTATTTCATAATATTGCATATTATATATGTTTAATTAAAATATATTTAAATATAAAGAGCAACCAGCCATTAAAATAATTTTTAAACATTAGGCGGGCAGGTTAAACAAAATTTATAGATAAATGTGTGGGCGGGCGGGTAATTTTTTTAAAAAAAATATAAGTGATCAGATGGGCAGGTTAAATAAATTTCAAAACAACGAGTTGGCGGGCTTTTTGGCTAAAAACCCGACCATTGCAGATCTCTAGCCCTTACATTAGAACCCAAAGAATTTTATTTTTTAAAACAAAATATACAAATTACCATTTTATAATATAATTATTCATCTGGGAACTTGTATTCCCACCTCCGTTTTTATAGAATGAGATTTTTTGCTATTTTTAATATATTTTTTATTAAATGAGAATATCAACACCCTTAAAAAATTCCATCCTAACAATGTTAATTTTTTATTTTTACTGGAACTAAGAAAACACTTGGAATTTTTTAATTTTTTTTCTATAGTTTACATGTAAAAATTTAATAGCTATAAAATGATAATTTATAACCCTATCTTAAGTATTATTTGAAAAAACAAGATTTAATGAAATCAAGCATTGCACGATAATCGACGCGTATATCTTTGGATCCATTTAGCTAGCGCTCTAAAATTTTGATTTTACTAAAATATACAACATAGATAACTATCATGATATCATATTTAATTTTGAATTCTGTAAAGATATATAGTTTTAATTTTTAATATACTTTTATTAGTTTCATCTATAATTTAACTATACCATAAGTTATGTCATTTAAATGTATTATATGATCAGTTATAGTTTATATTCAATTCAATTGCAATTCTAAAAGTATATAAAATATTTTTATTGTTAAATCACTTTTATATAATAAGTAATAACATTAATCTATATAAATAATAAGTAATAAACAAATATATTATGAAATTTGAAATAAATATTTAAAATAATATTTAAGATTAATATATTGAAGATTTCTTTTTAGAAATACCAAAATTTCCAATTTATCAGAGGTTAGCCTGCGGCGATGGTAGTTGTCAATATCATCAGCTTCACTAAAAACAGATTCTGAAGAGATTCTCACACAGTTTTATAAACAGAATGCGCAAAAAATAACAATATGGCAGAATGTTTATTAATTAATTAATATTATTATTAAAAAATAAACATAAAAATGGATTTCGATTTTATTTATAAAAATAAATGATTTTAGGTATAACTTTTTTAAAAAAATTTATAACATTTTTTGTTAAAACGTCATTATGGGTGAAATATCGGCCCGATCCGATAAAAATATCGGTACATCCCTAATGCCAAGTTTCGTTCATTATAAAATGGTCGTCCAAAACATTTGTAATGAAATGGCCCACATATCAGTTTTTTTATAATATATAAAAGAGAAGATTTGGGCCTTTTTATAAATAGACACGTTGAAACATTATGATGACTCCTTTCCTCGATTGAACATATTTGATGTAATGTTGGATAATGCTAGAAGAGTGGAAATTAAAATTCCCCCTATAGATTTGTTAATTAGAAATAATTTATAAAAAGTATTTAGCGTTAAATTTAAACCATTCATTGCTCTCTAAAGATTTTTTTTATTACATTTTTTAAAATTTATAACGTTGTATCAGATTTGTAGATGCACCCCTTTTCATAAGCCTGGGTTTTTTAAATTTGGTCATTTGAAATAATTTTGGTATAAATGAATTAAAAGGAATTCCAAAATATGAGAAGCTAATGAATGTTTAAATGATCCATCATATGATTTTTTAAGTTAATTGATAGAATTTATATTTTATTTGGGACCCAGTCAGTAAACAAAATTGATGCCTGCACATCTCTGCAAACATTGGTGCTCTTAAAATAAAATCTAGGAAATGATAGATATATTAATTTAGGTAGTATATGGTATTGTAGCTGTGTAAACATGTTAATTATTTTTAGTCTATAGCTCTGTGAATAATGTTTTTGAGACCAAAAGGAAATTGATATAAAAAAATTGATATATATTAGCGACCTTGATATAAATATCATAAACCAGTTATATATTTTTTTTATTACTATTCAAAAATGGATTCTCATTCTATTATAAATGGAGTTGAAATATTGTCAACCTTCAGAAGATGATAAATAATAATAAAAACCTTAAGAAAC